CTTTTGAGCCGCACCCTCCCTTTCAAGCCGGAGGGTGTCATTAGCCTCAGCCAGCAGCTTCTTGGCCTCAGCGAGCTCTTCGGCCAGCTTCCTCATGCCCTCATCAGCCTGGCCCTTGGCGATTCTTAATGCCTCCACCCTCCGGTCTTGTTCGCTGAATCCGAGGGCCGCCTGCAAAGAGATAAGAAACAGAGCGGGTTAGCAAGTCTAGAGCTCATGAATGAAGAAAACAACTAAGTAAACAGAAGACTCACCATCGTGCTGTAGCTGGCTATCTTATAGTCGAGGACGTCGTCCTCCAGGCGAGATAGCACCATCCTGTCCTTTGGGGACATCACCCCCCTCATGAATTCAATAGGATGGAGGGTGGAGTGCATCACCGCGGTCCCCCTCTTGATAGGGAAGTGGATGACCTCCTTCTCCCGGAGATCCTCGTCAATATGACTCGGAGGGGAGCGAAGGGGAGTGATCTCCGAGGCCTGCTCATCTATGATAACGAGGGGGGCCTCTCCCTTCTCGGCGCCCCCCTTCTTTTGTCTCTTCTCCGGAGGCACAACGCCTTTCTCGGCTCTCTTCTTTTTTTGCCCCTCGGCCAGGGAGCCCTCGGCATCGGAGCCAACAGCATCTTTGGCAGCAACGGCCTCCTTCTTCGAGGACCCCTCGTCCACCGGGGCCTTAGTCACCTCAGCCTTCGGAAAGAATTCATCGACAGGCTTCTGGGTGGAGGGCTTCGCCCCCTTCTTCTTTTGCTCTTTATCAAGCTTGTTCCTCAGCCCAGTGATGGCCTTCAGATCCATGGCGGGTCCTGCAAAGTACACAAGTGTTAGACTCACAACATAGCAAAAATACGCTGAGTACAAAAAAACAAGCCCTCGGCAAACAACCTCCGGCGCTCTGAGGGATCATGTCAATCAGAGGGTATTTCTCATCCTCCTCCCCGAAACGCCGGGTAGCGCCTGAAGCCCAACTTGTAGAGCTCATCCGAGAGGGTGGCATTCTTGATAATAATTTGCTTGTCCGAACCCTCGGGCTTTGCTGACAACTTCTTGCCGTCTTTTTGGAGGGCGGCACTCCCCACTTTTAAGTGCCTCCGGAAGCGATCTTTAAGAGGCTCCGGGAAGGGGTTCACGGCCATCCGGATATAGCAGAATTTGTCCTTCCACCCCTTGTGCGAAGACGGGACTTCAGAGAAGAGCCTCCACTCCGGGACCTGCTGCAGGTTGGCAAACCCCTGAGCATGAGTGTGCCCCCCTCGGCAGAGGTTGAAGCACATAAAGAACAAATCCAATGAGGGGTCGATCTCCCGAGAACGACAGAGGGACAGGAAGCCAGCAATGTATGAATGGCTGTTGGGAGTAAGTTGGCAAGGGACCAACTTCACGAACCTCAGATACTCTATCAGGAATGGATGAAGGGGGAATCGGAGCCCCAGGTCCATGGACAGTAGATGAACCGCGAAGCAGCCTTCAGGAGCCCGAGAAAGGACATCATCTGGCTTCAGCTCTATAACGCGCGCCTGGGGGCCAGCGAGGAACTGCGCCGTTAGGTATTCTGATTGTATAGCCCTTGTCTTCAACGCGAGGGCGGCAACGTTCAAATAGGAGTAGCCCTCGGGGATATCAACGGGCTTCCCCAAATCAACTGCGGCTTCCTTCTTCTTCTTCTTCGGAGCAGCCCCCCCTTTCTTCTTTCTTTTACCCGGAGCAACGCTGATGGGTTGCGGATCTAGGGCCCGGGAGGTACTCGCTTCGCCAGCACCGCGGGAGGGCAACACAGCAACCGTTACCTTCTGCCGTTCCTTCTCCTCTTCCTCTTCGGCCACTTGAAGAGCGAGGGCCATCTCCTCGTCTTCCACGATTTGCTCGAACTCCTCGGCCTCCATTTCCGTCCGAAGGTTTCCTTGAATCTCCTCGGCCACAGCGGCATCATCCCCAGCTGAGGGCTGTTCACTCGAGGACTCCACGTCCGAATAGCTCTCATTTTGCGCCGAGGGCTCCCTCGAGATGTCTTGGGAGTCGCTTTGGGAAGACATTTTTGCACCGGAGTCGAAGGGTATTAAGGGAGAGGGCTATCTGAATATCCTAGTCGAAGGCTCCTAAGATTCCCTAAACACTAGATTCAACGGACGAAAAGCAAAAGTTGCTAAGTAACTGAAAAACGGAGGAAGAACTGACCTTAAAAGCTTCGTTTGATCAAAGGAAACACTTTCTCTCTGTAGAAATTTTGGCAGAGCTTCGCTATCACATAAAATCGCACAAGGGAACAGAGCTTCGCCTTGGGGTATATATAGGCTTTCAGCCTCGAGAATTGGGCCTCGGTTTGAAAAGGCCATCATTACGGGCCGACGGTTCAACCAATGGATGGCACCCGCCCCCCTTCAGTCAACACGGACACGCCACGTGGATCACCCCTCCAACGGCTCTTTTCCAACGGCTCTATCTTGAAAACTTATGAGACAGCCCTCAAATGACTGCCTCCGGCCATCACCACGCAGTGGCCTTCGGCGAACAACTATTCACCATTTGCTTTTGAGCAGGCAGCATTATAAGCCTTCGACTTGTCAATGTTCCCACCCACCAGAATGTGCTAGGGCAATGGCCTTCGACTATCATCCACAGGAGCCTCCGGTGAACATATGTCACCTGACGCCTTATAAGCCTTCGGCTTATCAATGTTGCCACTCCTTAATCAAGGACACCCCTCGGAGTTACATACAAACATCATAACTCCTTCAGCCCGAACTTTCCTTTGGCCTAAAGGAGTGGGGGACTGGGACACACCCCTCGGGAATCACACAGAACTAAAATTTCCCAAACGCAAAAATTTACAAGTGACACATGACATCAAAGGGGTACCCTTCGGGTATGCACATCGAGCACCCTTCGGCGAGAGCTAGATATCAAAGATTTTCACAAATCACTTGTGAAAACAGCCCTCATCACAACACCTATAGGTGTTTTTTACACTTTCCTCAGAAAACCCTCGACATGTGAGGGACTGAGGAAAGCCTTCGACAGACAGCAGAAGACAATTGCTCAATCAAAGGCGCCCAACGAAACAATGAAGGCTTCAGAAGGATCAACGCAATTACTCCTTTTCCCTCAAATACCTTTCGGCAAAAGGAGTGAGGGACTCCTGATGGAGTATATGGCCCAGGAACCCCCGGTCCACAGACTCCTACTCTTCCTACAAAGGCCCATTAAGCCCACGGGGCATCTGAGGCCCAAATACAGCGGCCCAAGTCTCAAAGAAGCCCAAAGTACACACTGGGGTGCCTTCGGCCTCCTCGGCCGAAGGCTCCAAAACTCACAGGATAGCCTTTTTTGGGCATACGAAGCTATTGGGAGAAAGCGGCAGAAAACAGTAGCCTTCGGCACTGTTGAGCCCTCGGCATCAGAGAAGCCTTCGGTTGAACCAAGCCTTTAGCTTGGTTCCATAAAGAGCCCTCGGCTGCATGAAGCCCTCGGCTCCATAAAGAGCCCTCGGCTAAACAGACTCAATCATCGAAGATTCCCTTTGGAGACAGCCAACCTCCGCATTTAATGCGACGTCACATCCACCCACCGCATTCAATGCGGTGAACATGCCGGTGCCACCCCGATTGATGTGACCCCTCGGTCGTTGGATTACTGACACGTGTCCTCTCATCGCATTTATTGCTGCTATAAATAGCAACCCATTTCTCCTTGTAAACGATCCGGGATACACATCTCAACACGCTGAGTTCATTTAATAAAATCGACTCTTTCTCCTCCTATTTTGCTCTGACTTCTCTCTAGTTATTCCCGCAATAACCCCTCGGATAAGGTACCCCCGGTTAGACTATCCATCAGTCTACGATTATGCAGGAAAGTAAGCTAATTGCGGAAAGAAGGGGTATGATTTTTGAACATACTGTGCGAGATGGCAACTGGGTAGCCCATTATCTGGTTGCGACCCATTTGGGCCAGTCTTCTAAATTGTTTAATGGGCCGACTTCTTTACCTATTAGAGCTAAAAAAGCTTATTATGTGGATATGTTTGGGATCCCGTCGATTAGATTTTAGCATTTGCTGATATTGTACACCATCTTGGGTCAGGTCTAGCCCCCCATCTAGGTTTTCTCATTTGCTTCTTTGTATTGCTGTGCTTGGAGAGGTATTGGCCTAGTCCTCATCTTTATGTATCTCCTTATCATATTAATAAAACTCGGCAAATGACCCTCGGCATTTGTCCCACCGATGTGTGGTTACCTTCCGGGGTAAAATAATAATAATAATAATAATAATAATAATAATAATAATAATAATAATAATAATAATAATAATAATAATAATAATAATAATAATAATAATAATAATAATAATAATAATAATAATAATAATAATAATAATAATAATAAATTAATTAATTAATTAATTAATTAATTAAAACCCTTTTAAGGGAAGAAGAGTAAATTTTAACTCAAAATGTACGTAGCCCACAAAATGTAAAATATCTCCAATTGGTTTTTGGATAAGAATACCTTAGCTTATGAGCCCGTTTGGTAGCACCAAAATCGGCTGTTTTGGCTGATTCTGCTGAAATTTATGATATTCTGACTGGAGTGGCTGTTTTGTCTGATTCTGCTGATTTAAGAAAAAAATATTTTAAAAATATATTTTATTAATAATTTAAAGAAAAAATTATATGTAAAAATAGCTAAAATGGTCATCTACAGTAACTTCAGCCAATACAGCCAGAAAAGTAACTCCAACCTTACTTTTTCGGCTTATTACACAATTCAGCGCGCAAAAGTAAAAGTTACGTGTTTGGTGAAAAAGCTGGCTGATAAGCCTGATAAGCCGAAAACAGAGTTCTCCAAACGGGCTCTATGTTGTCTTAAATCAGCTATGAGATTCTTTGAACAACAAAAATCAGGTATGAGATATATAAATGAAAGTTACCCCCCTCATAAATTTTGGATAAAATTTTGTTGAAAATGAACATTTCCTAACATAGCTTTATACTCTGCATTATAAACGAAATGGGACCTAAAATCTCGAGAATAGAGTGAAGTACAGCCTCCCAACTGGCATCTATGTATCTTTCCCCAACGGCCCTGTGATCTGCGGCCGTTACCGTTTCATTAGTATTCGGTTGTTAGTTAAAAACCCTTTTCTGGTCCATACAAGTTTTACGTGTAAATCCCTCGATCTGTTCTGCGTCGCCGGAGATCATGCCGTTCTGCTCCGATCAGCCGCCGTTTCATCCATTCAAGGTACAACTTCAGCTCACTGTTCGAAACTCTAACGCCGTCGCATTCATATAGTGTAGTAGTCTTTTATAACAGACGCAGACGGCGGCGCGTTTCTTTTTTCATTTCTTCGTCCATTGATTGGGCAAACAGTGAAAACAACTGTTCCTGCCCTCATCATCAAAACGTTTCATGTGTCACTGTTGCATTTAGAATGATGTAAGTGTCACACACAACAACAAAAAGTGCTCAATTTTAACTAATCCATTTGATTTTAGTACAGGATATGCATTATTGTTTGTTACATACTAGTATCTCTGTCCCATTTTATGTGTCTCTTTTAATTTTGGCACAATTTCTAATAAAGTGGTTGAAAAAGTAAAAGTTATGATTGACATTTGAGTATAATAAAGTGAAATGTTATTAACCACGTGTTTCTTTCTAAAATGGAATATCAGACACTTATTTTAGGATAACTCAAAAAGGAAAGTAAGACAAATAAAATAGGACGTAGGGAGTATAACTATTACTAGTAGAATATTATTTTTCTATTCTTTAAAACTTATCAAATTTTAAAACACTGGAAATAAGAAATTAAATATTGTATGATAGAGATTTAATTTGTGCAAACGATAAAAGAAATAAAACACTATTAAATTGATTTCAAAAAGTGGTAAGGGATGGATGGACGGAATACAACATTTATATTCCCAGATTTTGGTATCGGTACTAAATATGGGTCCATGCTAAATTAAAGACACTTTGCTTGGGAAAAACTGTTTGAAAGCGCGCTGGTACAAGTGGCTCTCTCTATATAGCTAGTGCATATACTACACATGCATCGAACTTAAAAATGAGTGTATACACTAGAAATGTGGAACTCTGAAGGACTGCTTTGCTTAGGTCCAAATTCCAAAACCACATTTTTATTAAAAAAAGATCAATCTTGCTTGGTAGCAAAATTCATTCTACACAATTTGAAGTAATGTGAGGCTGGTATGTAGCATTTTTTAACTTTGGGTATCAGTTTCAAACTTACAATTCTAATGAGAACGAGCATGTTTTTAACCCAGTTTGATACACTATGTGGCTGATATGTAGCATTTGTTAACTTTGGGGTAAAATATGCCAAAATCAAATCAATGCGGTCATGTTTCGTAAAGAGAAGATTTAAACTTTGTTGTGCATCACATTAACTTAAAGAAGATAAATTTTAATAAACTAGACTCAGATAAAAATATATACTTCGTATCAAACTTGCTTGGTAGCAAATTAAATTCATTCTACACACGCAAAGCAACACATGTGCAATGTATTTATTTATTTATTTATTTAACGACAATACTAGAACAAAAACGGACCAGCAAATAAAGGCACATTCGTGTTTAAATTAGGATATGATCCTCACCCACGTTGTCACGTTGACGTTACTGGCATTAAAATGTCCTTTCTGTGCATATTTCTTTCGATCTTTTGTCTATGTAGTTTATTATTCCATTTTTCCTTTTTAGTGGGACCTCTGCACGGTTCCATGTACAAGACCATAATGATATACTCCTAGCTTCTTTAAAAGAAAAATCAAATCTTATTGATGGAATTGCATGCAAAAATAGATTCATCCCCATACTTTGGCATGCACCCCAATTTCTCCCTTTTTCCTTCCAAGTCAATGTTACATTATACACACTCTTTTACACATCTTATATTCATCATGTTTGTGAATATTTTTTTCCTGTAAACCCAGTTCACACAAAAAAACATACTCCCTCCGGTTTTATTTAATCTTCACTTCACACAAAATAAGGAAAGAAATTTGACTTTACTGTAGAGTACACTGTTGAGGCACTGTTTGACACTGTTTGGCACTGTAGAGACACTGTTTGGCACTGTTGAGACACTGTTTGACACTGTTTGACACTGTTTTGATGTAGATTTCTTTGCCAAAAAAGGAAATAAGGAAGTGTGAAGTTTATTTTAGACCGTCCCAAAAAGGAAAGTGTGAAGTTTATTAAAAACCGGAGGGAGTATTTTGTTTGTCAATCGGATTCATAGACAAAAAAAAACATTTCACAAACATGAGGATATAAAAATGAGTATAAGTGTGGATACAAATATCTATTTGTTTTTTTAAGAGTACCTATATATTCTCTACACTAAATCCACCCACATAAACGCTTCGGAAAAGTTCGACTCGAGTTCAGTCAAAAGTCATATTCAAGATTGATTCAAGCTCGGTCCAACTCGAATATTTAACAAACTCAATTCAAGTCTATTATTTTAGGTTCGTGACTCGTAAGCAGATTTGCAAGCCTTTGTGTGTGTATATACATATTTTATACGTAGTATATCATAATTATATATATATATATATATGTATATATATATATATATGTATATATATATATAATATGGAATATGTATTCTAATTTAGGAATATTTCATTTTTGATAATTATTGCGGCATACATTATAATGGTAGTAATTATAAATATAATTATATACTCGTATATTATTATAACCATAATCTATAATATTTATTGATAGTAAAATAAGGAATAGAAGTATACTTGAGGGGGCGAAGAACTAAAAAATGAGAATGATTAAGTACAAGTTTTATATTATTTGTTTTTATGCATAAATGTAATTTTAACAATTAGGAAAATAGTAATTTTATTTTTAGCACGAATTCGAGCATCATATTTGAGCATCTTATTCGAGTCTAAAACCTATAAAAATTAATTAGCAACATTCAACCAAAGAATCGAACTCGAGTTGCGCTCGAATTGTTTGAGCGACATTTAAGTTTGACTTGAGCTCGTGAATTCTATCGAACTCAATTCAAGCATATCTATGTTGGAGCTGGGCTTGGCTCGTTTGCACCCTACAAACAATTAGCGGTAGAACCACACATATAATATTGAGAGGGGGTTGGGCTTGAAAATTTTATACACTCGACTACTCGAGTTTAGCTTAACACATAAGATAATACGGTCATACGGAGTAATACTAAGGGGGTGTTTGAAACTGATTCTGCTTCTGCTTCTTTTTTTAAAGCAGAAGCAGAATCAGAATCAGTTTTCAGAAGTTGGTACCCCCCAGCTTCTAAAAAAAACTGATTCTGGGAGTAAATTAGAGCACCAGAAGTGCTTCTGGAATTTCACCCAAACATTCTAGCTGCTTCTGCTCCCTGAAGGAGCAGAATCAGTTTTGAGAATCATATCCAAACACCCCCTAAGAATGACTCGGTGAGCCTATGTGCGTTATTAGAAGTTTAATCTGAGGTTCATAGATCTTAGTTGGAGAGGAATGATCACGTACATATGGATGTACGGGGGGATCCGTACGGACATAGCCATTAGAGGCCCTTCCGTGTGGGATTTTTTGAGCATGTTCTTCATCAAGTCTAGTTTATCCATACTAAATTTCAGCTCAAAATTCGATCGGGGAGGCAGTCAAATAAATTCTTGAAATATATGGCACATTCTGCGCACATATAATGTGCAGTATATTTCAAGAACATGCTCAAAAAATTTCATCAAAAAATTCGATCGGGAAGGGCCTCGGATGGCTTTGTCCGTACGGAGCTTCCTGTACATCGTACATCGATATGTACAGGAACAGCCCTCCTTAGTTGGATAGCATTTTTCACCGACCTAAATTCCGAAGGTGCAGTTCTTACTGCTATTGCTAAAAATGTCATTTTTGAGTGGGAAGATGTTTACGTGAATGCCTTTTTTGTTATATTCATCTAAGCTCACATAATGTGCAGCTAGAACCAACTGTGTTTAATTTATTATGCTTAGGATAAATTTTATTTATAATTTCTTATTGTTGATGGATTATATATATTATTATTATCAGAAATGCTAAGGTACACAAGTTGTACACAAAATGTCGGTCACAGACAATTGGTACGAAATTGTCCGTGGGCACAGACAAGAGTTGTCTGTGTACACAAACATTTTTTGTCTGTGTCCACAGACATTTACGGAGTACTTTTTTGTAAAAAGTACACTGACACCAGCTTGTAAATCAATCAATATATGCAGTGTATGTGTGCACAGACAATATTTTCATAGTGCACAGACAATTATTTGTATGTGTGCACAGAAAATATTTACCACATAGACAATAGTTGTGCGTTCCACAGACAATAGTTGTCTGTGTGAATATGTGATCAACTTTAGTTGTTGGTTTGATCAACTTCAATTGTCTGGAAGAACAAAAAATTTAATTGTCTATATACATCCAAATGAATGATGTAGTTGTATGTGTAATTAATTTATATGTAATTTGTAAAAAAATTAGAAAAATAATAAAAATAGATGAAATAAGATGAATAAGCTTAATTCGTGCAAATTCAATCCTATGAATTTGACTGTTCTGTCTCAATTACAAGCCGGTCAAGGGTGAGACCGGTCCAATCCTGGACGAGTGCTCATCCGAAGGGGCAAATACTTATTTCAACCAGATCCTTATGGTTGCCTGTGCAACTGGACTGCTTAACTACATTAGCAGCAAGCCTCAAAATAAAACCAATAAACCGGTGGGCGTAGCTCAACTGGTAGTGAGAGAGAGCCACAAGGGTTATGTCTCGGGTTCGAATTCCGGCAACTGCGATGAGGGGTTACTATGCTGAAAAATGCATAGGGCTTCTGCAAGTACCGGGGACAGAGCCTCACTCTCTATCTGTCAGATTGTGATTATAATTCAATTTACATCCTCCCATCGTGCCGTCCGATCGGTGTTGGGGGCCTCAGGGATGGGGTATCATCCTTTTTTTTCAAAATAAAACCAATAATAGCAAAACGTACTAACTTAGTAGTGGCCTATCTCGATACATGTGATCTCTCTGCCTCCTTGGTTCATTCAAAAACAAAATCCTTTAATTACAACAACAGCAATACCCCACTATGTGAATATTATTGTCCTTTCATAGGGCGGATTTAGGAATTTGGGTTGAGCTGAGTTGAATAGTAATTATATTAGATTAAAACATAAGTAGGATGAGCTAAATATGATGATTAAAAAAAGTCACAATAAATACGGAGTATTTGATTTTTTAAAAATTACACTGGCTTACAACAAACCATTGCACAAATCATTCCTACTCATTTGGAAGTAAATCTCAACTGCTCTTTTTACAGGATATTTTGGTACTTTTACCTCCTCTCACTATTATGTCGATGACACTTTTGATACTCGATTTTGAGTTTTTTGCACTTGTAGTCCTTAGACTATTGCTGCGCAAGTCGACTACCAAAAATGTCACTGACACAATAATTTGGAACTGAAGGTGGCAAAAACTCTTTTCGACACATACGTAGTACTATTCTTCTTACATGTCAAATCCAAACATAAATTCTAATGGGGACGGAATTAGACGGAGGTAGCAGTTTCTTGAAAGCTAAGAAGACAATAAGAATGTTAGCTGTTTAGGTTGAAACTTTGCTTAGCTTGCACGTAAAACTATAATTTCCCTGGCTTTTACAACGCATATGTTTGTATTGAATTGGTGGATGCAGAATATGCTGTTTGCTTCCCTGACTTTGTTCTCAGCACTTGCAACACAAGGTGATGGGTCAAGTTATTGCTTGCAAGGTTCAAAGACACATAATAACAAGCAGAAGATCAATTGCTTAAATATATCTTCTTCCCCTTCCACTCTTCATGACTTATCTACCAACAGCAGCAGCATGTCATCGTCGTCCTCATTTTCTATCGAAAATCCTTTCACCCTTCCATCTTCTTTGCCCTCATGGCCTCCAGGTATTACACACCTCTTCTCCGGAACCAAAAACTCGATTTTAAGCCTTAAGATAATAGCTAGGTGCATCCAAATGACACTTATTATTCATAAAGAAATGAGAAATTTTCTTAATAAGAGTAAAACATAGACAAAGTGCATAAATAGGAGAGGAGGTAGGAGCATGTCGTGCCCCAACCTCGTGTCCTTGCTGCCTCTAAATAGGACAACCATTGTTTTCTTTATAAAATACTACTCATTCACTTGTAATTTGGGAAGTTTTATGTTTTTCATACTACCGAATAAGTCCTATTTTTAGTTTTAAAGTAGAATTACTCTTATTGGTGTACTTTGTCTATATTTTACTAATGTTTGAGGCAATTTCTTAAGAGGAAAAGATCAGTCTACAAGTAGAAATGAATGAGCTTATATTGCATGCAGGTGGTGGTTTTGCAAGTGGAAACATTGACCTTGGAGGGTTATTAGTGTCTCAAGTATCATCATTCACAAAGGTGTGGGCTACTCCTAATGGCGGGCCTGACAATAGCGGGGCCACTTTCTTTGAACCATCATCGCTGCCCGATGGATTCTTTATGCTTGGATCATATGCACAGGCCAACAACGTGCCACTTTTCGGAAGTGTTCTTGTAGGGAAAGATGTCATGGGTGGTGCTCTGAGGAAGCCAACTGACTATAGCCTCGTTTGGAGTAGTGAGAATCACAAGGAAATAACTCCTGCAGGCTACATTTGGCTCCCAGTTTGTCCAGATGGATATGAGGCAGTGGGCTACCTCTTGACAACCACACCTCAGAAGCCTCCCCTTGACAAAATCAGGTGTGTTTGCTCTAATTTCACCGATGCATCCGAAACCAACGAATGGATTTGGGGTGCTGATGGCGTAAACGTATATAGTTCTAGACCGCAAGCACGGGGGATCCAAGCTCCCGGGGTCCCTACGGGGTCATTCTCTCTTTGGACCGATTCCAATTCTTCCTCACTGTCCCAACCAGCTTGCTTGAGAAACAGAAACCAAAATTTCTCATCTGCAATGCCAAACCTGGCCCAAATTAAGGCATTGATGGAAGACTACTCTCCTGTAATTTTCTTTCACCCGGACGAAGCATTCTTTCCTTCTTCGGTCGAATGGTTTTTCGAAAACGGGGCTTTGCTATACACCAAAGGAAAGGAATCAGAACCAGTTGGTATCGACCCGAACGGAGCAAACCTTCCACAAGGTGGCTCAAACGATGGCTCTTACTGGCTGGACCTCCCAACAGGAGATGCAGATAAAGAAAAACTGAAAAAAGGGAACATACAAAATGCATCAGCCTATATACACGTCAAGCCGATGTTCGCCGGGACATTCACAGACATAGCCGTGTGGCTGTTCTACCCCTTCAATGGAGCTGCCATTGCCAAGGTCGAGTTCTTGACGATCCCCCTAGGGAAAATAGGAGAGCACGTGGGAGATTGGGAGCATGTGACCTTAAGGATCAGCAACTTTAACGGAGCCCTAACAAGCGTCTACTTCTCGCAGCACGCACGGGGTGTTTGGGAAAGCGCTTCTCAGCTCGAGTTTAAAGAAGGCACCAACAAACACGTGGTTTATTCATCCAAAGACGGCCATGCAGCGTACCCAAAGCCAGGGGAGAACTTGCAAGGGAGTGGTGACATAGGGATAAGAAATGATACCGATAGCGGTGGTTCGGATATGGACACTGGATTAAGTTTCACAGTGGTTGCAGGAGAGGGTTTGGGTGGTAAGGACGTTATAACGGAGCCGTTGTGGTTGAATTATGCCAGGGAGTGGGGACCCAAGATAAGCTATGACATTGGCAAAGAGTTGAAGAAGTTGGAGAGGTTCTTGCCTGGGAAGCTGAAATCTGAACTTGAGAGAATAGTGAGAGGTCTTCCGAGTGAAGTTTTGGGTGAGGAAGGACCAGTTGGCCCAAAGTGGAAAGACAACTGGAGTGGGGATGAAAGGTCCTCAACCTGATCCAAACCATATTACTGGAAGATATATACTCACTTCATAATATGTATACACATAGAGGCCAGTTTATACATCTATTTGTATTCCACACAAATAATTGTGAATAGCCAAATGTTTCGAATGGAAGTAGATTGGTGAATGGAAAGGTCATGCTTCACACAGAGAATACACACTATACATAGATTATTGAAAAACATTGATAGTGAAATTTTGAAATCTAGCTATTCATTTATTCGCTATGAAGTGTTGCTTTTCATTGGTATAAAGTGTTGGCCCGTCTAAGAAAATGAGACAAGAAATGCATGTTTTCAATAAAACATAAGGAGTATGTGAAACAATTATCCCCATATGACTTAAACTCTTTCATTTTCCCAATCTATGACCTAACTAGTTTTTTTCCCAAAATAATACCTAAATTCAAATTATTTAATAATAATTCGTAATTAATAAATAAATAAATAAATATTTTTATGGACATATATACCCTTTACGCTATACCTATAAAACCCTAACATCCCTACTCTTTTTCTACAAAACCTAGCAACCAGCCGCACACATCCACCCGCCTCCTGCGCTCACCGCACACCCTGCTGCCGCCAACCCCCGGACCACTGCACGCACCCACGACCGCCGTCCACCAGTCCGTCTCTAGTTCCACGCTTGTTCGCCGCTGTCGCCGCCAACCGACCACGCTTGTACGCCACCGCCATCCCTACACCTGCGCGCCGCTGTTGTCCCGAGCCGTGGGCGCCGCCTCCATCCCGATTCATTCTCGTCAACATCGTCCCAAGCCCTGAGCGTTGCCGTCCTTGTCGCCGTCCAGCCGCACGATTGCACTCGATCCAACTCGCTGCCGCTCAGCCGCGCCCCTCTGCCACTCCTACAACTCAGATTCTTCAGTCAAGGCAGCCAAGGTTGATGGCGAACCAAGGTTGAAGACGAACCTAGGTTGAAGACGATGAAATAAGTGTGCAATGAATAAGTTATATTTAATGTCGTGAACATCACAAGAAGCGCAATGAGTTATGACAAAACGTGCAATGATATGGCAAGAAGTGCAATAATGTAAAAAGCGCAACGACATGAAAAGAAGTGCATTAAAAATGACATGAAAAAATATCTATAAATTCGTAGCATTATACTTCGTATGTAATATTTAACCAAATGTAAGAACTAAAGTTATGAAATCTAAAAAACGCTAAATTCATTTTATGTAATGTTATGTCATGCACTGAATATCGCCATAAAGTGCAATAAATGTAGTGCAATAACGCCTTCATGAAGTGCAATATTTTTACCCGGACGAAATTAGTGTAAAATGCATATTTTTAAAAAAAGGGTATTTTTGTCCTTCCACAATTTAATATAACGAAAAATTCTTTTTTTTTCGATTTTTGGTCATATTTCGAGAAAAAACATAACTAGTCACATTTCGAGAAACTCACATTGTTTTAGTCATATCCCGGGAATTTTTCCTATGTTTAGTCTATTAATTATGCTCACATGTTCTACAACTAATAAAACATGAAATATTTTTTTTATCATAGTGTGGCATTTCAAGGAGAAAATCGGGTCTGAGTGGTGGTTCTTTATGCCTTTTTGCAAGAAACTGTAAAATCCAGGGTAAAACTCCCTATAGTCCTTAATAGGGACAACCTTAGCAATTGCAAGACATGAGGTGCAAGCAAAAAAGTTTTAGGACTAACAGAAAAACATAGCTATGAGTATATGACTTACGACACTAAATCGGTCAGCAAATCTCTGTTTTCTACTAAGAGAACAAGTTGGGGCTCTAGTATAATGTGTAGGGGCAGGTATAGTGGAAGTCCTAGTTCCATTGCACCGAAAATATATCGGATAAATTATGAATAGTGAAAGGAGATGGAAGCTATTGAGGGTGTGATTAGAACATAATGAAATAGTTTACTAGAATGAAGTATAATTCAAAAAATATAGTTGTAATAGTTTATTATTTACAAAATTATTGAGGGTATGACGAAAATATTTAAAAATGAGAAGATTATTTAGTTACAGTTGGAAAAGGAAAATGAGAACATATGAACGATACGGAAAGAGTATTATTTTGCATCTGTCCCTTATCGATTTGAAACAGAATAAGATGAGACTCTATTTGCACGTACCATAAAAAATAATAAGACCGGGACAAGAGCAAGTTGTTTTGTTCTATCCCGTTGTCCCGTTTGTGTGACTATGATTTTCTTAGCAATTCCCCAATTTGTCCAAGCTTAAAAGATGTGTACTACTATTCTCAGAGCCGGTTTTTAGCATGTTCAACATGTTTTACAGAACAGGGCCTCCCGATTTATGGGGCCTCGATTTAAGAAAAATATTAGTATTACATAGTAATAATATAGTAATAATATATATTAATACTCCCTCTGTCCCATAAAATAGTTCCCGCATTGACTTGGATCAGATTTTAAGAAAGTAGGAATAAAGTGGAAATGTATGGTTGTGGTTGTGTAAGAAAAAGGTAAATGAATGTGAGTCACACAAAACTTTCCAAAAGAGGAAATGAGAACTATTTTTTGGGACGGTCCAAAAAGGAAACCGGGAACTATTTTGCGGGACGAAGAGAGTACTAATCAGTAAAATAAAGTTGAAATAATGTCAAAAATAGGATCATGGGCTTTCTCATTGACAAAAACAAGACTTGAAATTCGTATGGACAAAAAAGAGACCAAATCAAACTGAAACCCCCAAAATGCCCCCCTCAAATCCCTAATGCTCTGTTTCGATGGAGTGAAGTTAAGTAAACCTAGTGCAATAAAGTAAACCTAAGTTTTAACATAAACTAGGTTAACCTAAGTGAACCTAAGTTTATGCGTAAAATAGTGTTTGGAAATTAAATAAATAAGGTGAACCTAGGTTAATGGAATAAATGTTGTTTGGATGAAGGTACTCTAGCTCATTTTATGTTAACCGAGAACTTAACCTCCCCCCCCCCCCCCCCCCGTTTCGGAGGTTCTTCAATTTTAGGTGTTTCTAGGTTCTCGAGAGTTAAGTGAGGTTAACTTATAACCTAGGTTCTTGTTGCAAAAACACAAACAAACGAGGTTAACTAAAAATTGAACCTGCAATAACCTAGGTTAACCTCCAAACAAACAGGTCATAAAGGTCTTGATCCGTCTGTTTCTTCATCGTCTCCTTTGAAGGCCTTTGTGAAGGTTGTCCATCTTGCCGTCATCATCGTCTACCTCGACCAAAACTTCATCGCCACAGGCCCACCGCTATCATCGTCTGCTTCTACAGACCTCGCTGACGCCATACTCATGTCGATTTCTTCTCTTCTTTTTCTTTCCGATTGTCGGAGACAAACGAAAACTCTTTGTCGCAATAGTTGTTTGTCATCGCCGCTGCAACCGTAAATCTTCTCTCGCATAGCCGTTAAAGCTATTTCATCTCCCTGGAGATGAACGCGGCTAGCAATTAGAGGTTCAAGGGGGAGGGACTAAGGGGCAGGAGGTGCGCGCTTTGTTCGGGGGCACTACAGCAGGCAAGGGCGAGAGCAGGGGTTGGGGAAGGGGTCAATGGCGATGGTCGGAAACTGCTGTGACCGGTGTTGGGGTGGGAGCTGTTATATGCGTATCTCATAAATCATCAAAATAAATAATTAAATAAATAATTATGAAGAACGAGAAGCGTACGGAATTGAAGAGGTTGAACCGAGCCCAACAAATACTTGTTGTCTCCTTAAGACGAATTTGCCCACAACACACGTAGCAATCGCCTCCCAGGATAGAACGGTTTTTCGTTCCCGAAGGACACCGGCGAACCAAATGATGCACTAACGGTGGAGTATTGGACGTAGAGGAAAAAGAAGACTTTGTGATAATTTTTGAACTTATTTTTTCTCTCCAAAACCGTAGGAGCCAATTGGGATATAAGTACTCTGGCCAGGAGACTGGTCCCAAAAGGCACCTATTTAGAAAAGGTGACAACCTTTCTTCTAAGAGTTGCCTTATCCAAAATTAATGAAATGTACAAAAATAATGTTTAAGTCTTAAAGCCACGTGGGTACCCACCCGTACCCGAAACCCAACCCAACCCGGCCGGCCAGCGGCGGCGGCGCGTGAAGTTCAATTTCGCGGTGTGCGGGGGACAATTTCTCATTCATTTCAAAATGGTTTTCTACAAATAATATATTGAAATATTAATATGTAAACCATTTTTCCAACAATCCCCCCACATGAATGGGAAATTGGCTTAAGACATAACAGACGAGATTTGACAGAGGAAGATGGGAACTCTGCATAGGGTTAGGTAGTCGTGAAACTTTGAACCTACCTTAGTGTATATCCATCGGATTTACTGGACAATCGGTAGCACTTTGCTTTGAACCGTCAGCCATTGCGTAAACCTAGACAATGAATAACACACAGAGCCCCGGGTGCATCTTTGGTTCTCACGTTTGTGTTCGTTTCGGCCATGAACACCTCCTGGTTCAGCTAGTGTTTTCGAGAATTTATCGTGCACCAGAGAATTTTATCGTGTGCCATAAACTCTCATAGAAGCGGCCTTCTTCCACCAGCATAGGTGATCTCTATGGAAGGTATCATGCCATACCTTACTTGAACGTATCAAGATATAGAGATCATTAAAAGCGTAACTTACCCTAAATGCTCATGGCATGAGTGTACTATATCTTGGCTAGTACCGCCCGAGCCAGTCCACAGTTGTGTTTTCCCTTTGAACCTAATTATGAGGCACTCTCTATAATGGGTAGGGTTTTCCCATGGACTTTTATTGGATCATTGGCCGTAGGCCCATCGCTCTCCTTGACGTCTCGACCAACTCACTCGGTAGAGGTTTGGTTAGCGGATCCGCAAAATTTTCTTTCGACTTAACATAGTCAAGAGAGATGATCCCATTTTTAATTATTTTTCTAACGGTATTATGTCTACGACGGACGTGTCTAGAATTACCGTTATAAACTGCATTCCTTGCCCTTCCAATAGCTTCTTGACTATTACAATAAATGGATATTGGAGGGGCAGGCTTTTCCCAACAAGGAAGATCTTCCAAAAACTCTCTCAACCATTCAACTTCTTCTCCAGCCTTATCTAAGGCAATGAATTCAGCTTCCATGGTAGATCTTGCATTACATGTTTGTTTGAAAGATTTCCACGACACGGCACCACTTCCCTCTGGTATATCCCTCTGGCATGGCTGGATATTTTTGAAAAGGTAAATCATAG